ATGAGCGGCACCGGGGTGACCGGCTCCCGGGTGCACGCCAGGCTGGTGCTGAAGGAGAATTCCACCGACTCGGTGCCTATGATGGTCCAGCAAGAGCTGTCGTTGAGCAACGCCCTGTTCGCCTCCTTGGGGCAGGGGGAGGCCTGCGCGGAGACGCGAGGGGAGGGGCGGGAGCTCTGGTTGGCGGTGCCCGGGCTTCCGCGTTCTGGGTTCCAGCCCCAGGCGCTGCGGTTTACCTGCCCTTGGAGCTTGGACAAGGCCCCTCAGTTCTCCCAGAGTTAAATAAGTTCGCTGGGTGAACTGGCTTCGGAAGGCCTATTTTGTTAGGATTCTAGAATTCTATGTTTAACGCTGCAATGCTGTGCCCTAACATTCTACAGTTCTATGGCTTACAATCTTATGATTCGAATGGACTTTGCTCAATAATACTCAATACTCTTATTTGTTTTTATTTACAGTCTACAATTTTATATTCCAACCATCTATGACTCTAATAGTCTCTGGGAAGGAGTACTGCTCAGTAATATTATTTTTTTACACATTCTCTGATCTGTCTCCATAGTCTCTGGTTCTGGCATTCCCTGGGAGGAAGTAGAGCTCATTATGACGATGATGGTCTTACATGCTGTGTGTGGTTCTCTGCATTCTGACTTTCTAAGATGCTTGGTGCTGATAATCTCTACTTCTCACCTGGAACTGCACCACCTTCTCTGTGGCAAGACACAGGTAGGTGCCGCCGCCTCCAGGAGGGCCCCCAGGAAACTGGAGTGCACACTTGTGCAGCTGGGAGATGGGCTCGTCCACGTCGAGGAGTGCGCACTGTTTGGCTACTTTGCGGATGATCTACAACAAAAAGGTGACAGGAAGTGTGACAGCCAGGTGCCTGGGTGCCGGATGCCACCATCCACCCCCCCCCCAGCCAGCTTCCTGCTACTCCAATAGCCATGTGGGCACTGGCGGACCCCCCCTCCCCCCGCCCATGCCAGCCCTTTGCCTCTATCCAGCCCCACAAAGCCCTGAGTATCCTGGGTGAGAACTGAATAGGTGTCTTTATGCCTCAGGCCCTCACCCTCCAGCCCTGCCCACGTGGGTCACCCTCTGCGTGGGTCTGGGGACCCTCCCTTCCCTTACCATTGGAGGTAGGGTGATGCCCGTGACAGTGCAGACCAGCTGCACCAGGGAGCCATAGCGGACGTAGCCCTCTCGAGGTGGGAAGTCCCCCTGGGAGGAGTGGTCATCAGCTGGGGGGAGAGGGGGGAAAGGGAGGAAGAGGAGGATCTCAGAGGGCCCCAAGCTTCTGCTCCAAGCCCTGCCCTTCTCGCCTCTGGCTCCACCCCATTCGCAGGCGGGTTTGTGGGTATGGTTGGAGGTTCTCCTCCTGGGGGGAGGGGGGGTCACTGGTGGCCACCCTCGCCAGGGTCTGACCCCTGGGACAGGGGCTGAGTGAGGGCCTGGGCTGGACACTGGAGCTGCGGGCTTGGGTCCTCACTGGGACCCCTGGCAAGCCTTTTTGTGTTTCAAAGCCTCCGTTCCAAGAGCGGAGTTTACCTTCCTTGAAGGGTTGTGGTGAAGATCAAAGAAGCGAATGAATGCAAGTGCCCAGCCCCTGCCCGCTGGTGTAATTACCCAGGTGGAGGGTGAAGGCAGCCCACTGGCGCGCACTGGCCACGAAGGCCCCGTCCTCCACGGAGAGGTAGCGCGTGGAGACCGTCTGGGAGCGCAGGCGGTTGAAGAGGGAGACCTTGGAGCCCGAGGATATGCACACTGAGAGGGGAGGTGGAATCAGTGCCCTGGCCTGGCTGGGTCCCTTGGACATGCCAGACACATCTGGTCTGTCCCCTGTGCCCATTTGACTCATATGCCCACCAGCCTAGACACAGTGGCATTCATATTTCACAGCTGCTTATCCAGTACCTGCCCTAGTCCTGCTTCTGCACTTGTACCTGCTCCCTTTTGCTGCCTGGGCATCCTTTAGCTCAATACACAGTTACCAAGTAGCCACTAAGTGTGGCAGGCACTGAGCAGGGTGCTGGGCCCCAACGGGGGAATCAGACCCAGTGTTGCTCTGGAGGAGCTCACGGTCTCAGAGGGGAAACAGGGACATAAATGTAAAATTTCAGTCTGGTGTGTAAGGACGGGGTTAAGGAGGGCTTCCTGGAGGAGGGTATACTCTCAGCTGGGGAGCATGAAGTAGGTGCTTGGGGGACTGCATAAGCAGAGGCCATGTGGTGTGAAACAGCAGTCCAATGTTTCCAGGGCTTGACATTGATCTCTTCCAGCTTCTCACATAGGAAGAGCCACAGTTTGTTTTCTGATTAGATTTTGACCACCTGGGGAGAAAGCCTTGGGTCGTCTCCCTCTCTCCCCTCACAGCGCGAGGCATACTATAGGTGCTCAGTTTACACTTAGCCCAAGTTCCCATCCACTGAACAATAGCTAAAGTTCGCTGTGTGCCAGGTACTGCTTTCAATGCTTTATGGGTATTAGTTCATTTGAACCTCTCACCAGGCCTCGGAGGTAGATGATATTATTTCTCCTGAAGAGAGCAACTTGCTGAAGGTCACTGGGCTAGCAAAGGGTAGAGCCAGGATGCAAAGCCAGGCCACCTGGCTCCAGAATCTGCCCTGCACCCATCACATTATAACACCTACTCCTCCCTGGCCCTTTCCTGATACCAAGGGTCAGCCAGAGCACTGCCTGGATCTGAGACCTCCTTCAGGGGTTTTAACAGACAGGGAGTGTGGTGTAGGAGTAAGATCTGGGCTCCGGAGTCAAATTGACACAAGTCCAAATCCTGGCTGGACCACTTCCTAGCTTGCCAATCTTGGGCACGACACCTGGAATAGGATAGGCCCAAGTGTGTCTCAAATGAATGGATGAATGTTCCAAACCTCATTTTCCTCATCTACAACATGGGAACAGTGACAGTACCTACCTCACAGGGACACAGTGAGCGTCCAATAGGCAGATGCGTGGAATGTGTTCCAGGAAAGCTAACCCTCCCTTTGCCTCCCCCTCCCTCCCCACTCCCATCGAGCGTAGTGGCGTCACTGTTATCCAGGCTTTCCCCCCTTATAGTCTCAAATCCTCCAGTACTTGGCTCCCAGGACAGTACTTGTCTCAAACTGCCTCTTTGACCCTCTATGCATGCCCCTCTCCCTGCTAGACTGTGTGTTCCTCCAGACAGACACTTGCCCTTGTTTTATAGGGATCCAGCACCCAGCACAGAGCCAGGCATAGAGCAAGCCCTGAGTAAATATTTTTTAACTGAATTTCCTTTGTCGTTTTATTGTCACTTTTAATCTGTCTCTAGTTCAGTATCTGCTGACCCTTTGAGGGCCCCCCAACTACCCCGTCCCTAACTCGCACACTCAAGACTGGTGTTGGTCCCCTCTCCTCTCTGCCCTTGCTTCTCTAACTTATTCCCAGAGCTCAGCTGCACTGGCTCAGCTAGACCGGTCCCGGCCCCGCTCGGCTCAGACCCCGCCTCTTCCACTCTGACCCCCCCCAACCCGCCCCCCCATAAGATTTGAGGGCACCTCCCGGCCACGTCTACGATCCAGCCCCGCCCCGCTCACGGTCGGTGTTTTTCAGCGACTGCTTCTTCTGTGAGGGCTTCGAGATGACCTTGATGAGGCGGCTGTGGAAGGTGCCCAGCTCCCTGCCCCCTCGGAGCACCAGCCGCAGCACCAGCCGGAAGTGCTTCCTCTTGTCTGCGTCTGAGATGTACAGGGTCTTGGCGCAACCGAATTCCTAGGGGTTGAGGGGGTGGGGCCGGCTCATCCCAGCTGTCCGCCTCGGGGTGAACCTTGCTCCCCCAGTTATCTGACGTCCGCCCCGTCGGCCGTGACGGAAGCGGCCTAGTCCAAGCTCTCGGTGCACCCTCCTTGCAGACCCTCGGTGTCCAGGCCCCTCCCTACCTGTCGTGTGGCTTCTGCAGAGGAGATGAGCTCTCCTCCCCAAGGAAGAGGCGAGGGTGGGAGCAGGACTGGGACCCCCTCCTATGCTCTCACCCTGGAGTCGGTCTGCTCCTCAAAATTTAACTTCTGCGTCTCGGCGGCGCTGCCGGATGCGCCGTCCAGTCCCATGTAACCGCAGACAGTGGGCCCCGGTTCCCCTGCTGGGTGGGCTAGAAAGGGACGCCGCCGGGCTCGGGAGGACTCCGAGGGAACTCAGGTGCCGGGCAAGCCTACTTTTCGCCGCCAGAGGGCGCGGCGAGACTGAGTCTGCGAACCGCCCCGCTCCCAATCCCTACTGCGTGGTCCCCTACCGAGGAAGGCGACCAGTCCGGGGGTCTGTCCTCACCTTGGCCCGGCACTGGCTTCACCCTCCAGCCAGGACCCGCGAGGTACACACAGGGCGGGGGGCAGAAGAACCTGTGGAGACATGTAAGCGCTGAGCTCGTGTATCATCTCCACTGTCCTGTCTTGTAGGCATCTCAAAGGGAGCAGAAACCTGAAAGAATCCCCCTCCACCTTTCCCACCTCCCTCCCCAGGCTCCTCCAAGACTGTGAACCCCATGAACATCCGAGCCTTCTCCACTCCACCTTTAAAACATATCCAGGACCCACTGGCTGCTTGGCACCTCCACATCTTTATTTGTAAAACCATGAGCCAACCATGTCACTCATCTTCTTAAAACCCTCCAATGGTTTAGACTCAAAGTCCTCATATAACCTGGCCCCTGCTTACCTCTCCAACTTATTTCCTACATCCCCACCCCCTTCTCAAACTGCAGCCACGGTACTTCTTTTGTACCTCAAACAGGCCATTTTGGTACTGCCTCAGGGTTTGTGCATTTTCTGTTTCTCCTCATTGGAACACAATCCCCCCAGACTCTCTCCTGTCTGGCTCCATTTTCACATTCAAGTCTCATATCAGACGTTATCTTGACCTTTCTAGCAAAAGTACCCTCCCTTCTGTTTCTATCACATTGCACTATCTATTCCCTTCCAGCTTTCGTCAGGATCTTGTTCATGGATTTCAGGGGCTTTATGGTCTGTCTCTTCCACACTAGAATGAAGATGCCATGAGAGCAGGGACTGTATTTGTCTTTTTCAGCTGTATGCCCAGTGCCCAGCGGTGCCCAGAGAGCCTGGCACATGACAAGCACTCAGTTACTAGTTGTTGAATGAAAGTATGAATGAATGGGTGAATGAGTGAATGAATGGAGACTGTTGATTCCCAGGGAGGTTCTGCTAAGACCAAAGTGGGGACTATTGGTGGCTGAAGGAAAAGGCCCATGATCAGCCAATAGCTGGGCCCCAGTCCTCCTCAGGTTCCAAAAGATGGTAAACAGGAGGCGCGCACAGGGCCAAATGCCAAAGAGACCTGGGAGGGGCGGACGAGCAACCTACCGCTTCTCATTTCCGTATGATTTCTGGGCCACCTTGGCGTGCAGGATCCGCACCGTCTGCTGGCACTGCAGCTGCAAGCACCGGCGCACGCCTTCCCTCAGGACAGTGGTGCGCTCTGGGGATGCCCTGGGAGGCCACAGCAGGGAGCAGCAAAGGGTGAGGTGGCATGGAGTTTGAAGTGCACGTACGTTGAATGAAATAAAGTTCTAGTGGTGACCACTCGTGGACGCATGCAAGTTGTGAGCTAAATATTTGGGCTGCACGGTTCTCAGTGAGGCTTGCAGGGAGCCCACCTGGACCACCCAGGCACCACTCTGCTGGTCTGGCTCCACGCCCATCGTAGCCTGGAGCATTGCGGAGATGGCCCAGCAGCACAAAGACCCAACTTGTGTTGGCCTTGGGGTGGAGGCCGACTGTGTGAGGGCGCCTGGCTCTCCCTGCACCCTGAGGGGACCCACCCAGGGAAGTCTTGATGCCAGGGGACAGTAGCCTTTGCTGGACCCAGGGAGCAGAGTGCTCTCTTGCCTGCTGGCAGACACCTGCAAAGGCGGAAGGGCCCCAACCCGTGTCCCCAGTATCCTGGGATTGGGGGAGGAGAGCATTTCCGTTTTTCCCTGGTCAAAATAACCTTCGCTCCTTGCTCCGCAGAGCAGAGGCCTGTTTCTGTCTCAGTTGTACTTTCCTTGATCGCAGGGCCTCCATTGCCATGTGGAGGGGGCCAGGCAGAGCCTAGGGCATGATGGCTTCTCAGCCTGCGAGTTTTAATGGGTGAGGGTGGGTGAGGGTGGGTGGAGG